CATGAGCCTCAATTTGCATTTCAATGGCCCACCTGGTTGGAGTTGTATCTGCGAGGGAGGGGCTGCTGCCTCTCCTCAGAGGCCTGGGAAAGAGCAAAATGGCCACAGTCCTGCATGGCCGCAACTCAGCAAAAGCTCTGAGCACCCTCCAAATCCCAAGTGTCCCCACATAGTTCCAGTCCTGTCTGCCCTGCCTCTGCCGGAGTCCAAGGTGAGTGGCTGTGGCTATTTTAGCATCTGTCCCTGCTCTGCGCTGTGGAGCCGCTTGGGAGTGTAACCCTGCGGGTGCTGGTCACAGCTCAGACCGCTGCTGTCCGTGGGCTTCCAACCTCCTTCTCTCGCCTCCGTAGATCCTACCAGGATCGAGTCAGTGTCCCTGGTTATATGGTCTTCGCAAGCTGCTTTTCTGTTGCTTTTTCCTGATACTTGTCTTCATTTTAGTTGTAATTCCAGTTTGGTCCTAGGAGATGGTCTGTGTAACTTCCATTCACTCTACTGCAATTTTGGAATCTCACTATAGGTTTCTTTTAAATCACATCTTTAGATGCATTTAAATCATATTTATGTTTTTTTATTCATTTCAATGTATTTTATAATTTTCTTGTGATTTCTTTTTGGCTCATCGATTATTTAAAAGTATATTGTTTAATTTCCCTTTTTTGGGGGGATTTTGTAGATATTTTTATGGTGTTGATTTCTGATTTATTTCCACTTTGGACATAGGACAGTTCTTGTAAATTCTAATCCTTTAATATATTGAGATTTGTTCTGTGTTCCAGAATATGGTCTGTGTTTGCAAATGTCCCATCTGCCCCTGATAAGAATTCTGTTGTATAGCAGTGCCATGTGCATAATTTATATGTGGCAAAATTACCAGCCTGTGATGTGTTAAAATTTTTTACAGTTATTCACTAACGTCCAGTTCTTCCCAATCTGTCTGTAACTTATAGCTGAATAGTGTTTCCATTTATCTTTATGATTAACTTGACATCAAGTGATAACCATAGGTACTGGTATTGAACTGATATGAAGCATTTTTCCGTCTGGATCTTGCACATCTGATCTTCTGGCTTCATGAGTGTTTGAGTTCAGCTAGAGTGAACGAGGATCTGTGAAAAAAGTAAATGCTAATGTCAAATATGGTTCTTTGAGATGAATCACGAACTGTCCCACTCTCACACATATCTACTGGTGACAGTGTCCAGATTTATGTTTTAGAAAGAAAATTGGCCACACCATCACAGATGGACTGAATAGGGAGTCCAACAGTGACTAGGTGTTTCTTGGAATTCTCCAGGTGGTAGATGTTTGTTGAAGGTCTGCTGTGGCAATAGGACTAGAATGAAGGGATGAATTTGAAAGAAATTTTGAGAAATAATTTACAAGTCTCTGTCTGAAATGATGTATTCTTTGGAATTAAAACTCACTAAGTAACTAGATGAATGATGATCCCATTCACTAAGATGGAGAAATGAGATGAAACATAATGGTTGGTTTGGAAAAGGGATATTGGTTAGCCTGGGCTTAGGACAGTTTTGTTTGTGGGGTGAGCAGTGTGGTGAAGACATGGGTGGCATGGCCTTGGTATTATGAAATATTTGGCATTATGGTATATATGAAGTGCTGTGATACAGTGGATTCATCTTATTTTAAGCTCTCAACTCCAGAACTCTTCTGTCTCAAACTCTGCTTAATCTTTATTCACATCATTCTTATATTTTGAATATATGAACTTGTAGCAGCAGTTTAGTAAGTTTTAATTTTACTGTAGTGGGAACTATTTTTAGTTAAAAGCAAAACCCAGATGATTTAACAAGGGCGATATTCTACTTACCTCTTGCGGAATAACAAATGGCTCTACACTTAATGGCATGAGAGCCATTGTTTTATTAATCTGTGGCCGGCAATTTGGACAGGACACAGGGGAGATGGTTTGTTGCTCATCCACAATACCTGGAGCCTCTGCTGGGAAGACAAGTAAGTGGGGGTGATTCCAAGAGTTGGAACTGGGAATTGTCTTGAATTCGCTCCACTCATATGCCTGCCATGAAGGCTGGGATGGCATGTGTATCAGGGGTAGGAATCTTGAGACCATCTTAGCCTACCCAGGTTCCTGTTCATCCTTTAGTGTGCAGTTGAAATTGTGTTCCTCTCATACGCCCTTGTCATAAGCCTTTCCAGCAGCGTGAATTGCTCTCTCACCTTCTTCATACAGCAGTGGATGTCTTGTGTCTTATTCTACCTCAAGTAAGTGAAATAAACCCTTCGTGTTCATGGCCTTGCCAATCTGAGCACACGCTCTACCTTTGGAGTGAGTGGTACTAGATGTGCATTTCTCCTTGGCTCGCTTGCTCTCTGTGTATTCTTGATGTAGCTCTTCTAAGAGTAAGAGTTGTATTTTAATGTTATTGACAGTTCTTGAAGGCCTGGCATGCATTTCCTGAATGTTAACCGTCCACTGTGGTGTGTTGTGAACACATCTGCCTGTCTAGTAAGCCACTTTGTAACCTGAGCATAAGTTATGTTTGAATCAGGGCAAAGAAGGATTACAGAAAAATCATGTATCAGAAACAGGAACCAGGACTTAAAAGAACCTATAGTTTGGTCAGAAATGAAAGTCAATATTAGAGACAGTATGACTCCAAAGTGTCTCAATGCGGGGAGCAAGGAATGTGGGGAGCAGGAACAATCTAAGATTGGGCATCACCTTGGATGTCCCCACGGCCCCTCCCCAGTACCTGTGAACTCTTTATGATTTTTTTTTTTTCTTTTTTTTTTCCAAATCTTTATTGTTGGATGTAAAATGTATTACAGATGTTCCACATTTTTTCCCCCATTGACCCCCTCCTCCCCACTCCCGCCCCCCTCCCACCTTTTCCCACACTATTGTCTGTGTCCATTGGTTATGCATATAAGTTCTTTGGTTTATTTCTTCCCACCCCCCCAACCCCTTTCCCTTTGAGGTTTGTCAGTCTAGCAATGAGTTTGTGCTTCTTAATCCCTTCACCTTTTTCACCCATTCCCCCAACCCCCTTCCCAACTGGCAACCAATAAAATGTTCTCTGTGTCTATGAGAATGTTTCTGTTCTTCCTGTTCATTTTGTTTGTAGATTCCATTGTTGATAGATATGTATTCATTGCCATTTTGTTTGTTCATACATTTTATCTTTTTCTTCAAAAAGACCCTTCATCATTTCATATAATAACGGTTTAGTGGTGATGAACTCCTTTAACTTTTTCTTGTCTGGGAAAGTTTTTGTATGTCCATCGATTCTAAATGACAGCTTTGCAGGATAGAGTAATTTTGGTTGTAGGTTCTTGGTTTTCATCACTCTGAATATTTCTTGCCACTCCCTTCTAGCCTGCAAAGTTTCTTTTGAGAAATCAGCTGACAGCCTAATGGGTACTCCCTTGTAGGTAACTAGCTGCCTTTCTCTTGCTGCTTTTAATATTCTCTCTTTGTCTTGAACCTTTTGCATTTTGATGATGATGTGTCTTGGTGTGGGCCTCTTGGGGCTCATCTTGTTTGGGACTCTCTGTGCTTCCTGGACTTGTATGTCTGTTTCCTTCACCAAGTTAGGAAAGTTTTCTGCCATTATTGTTTCAAACAGGTTTTCGATTTCTTGTTCTCTCTCTTCTCCTTCGGGCACCCCCAAAATGCGAATGTTGGCACGCTTGAAGTTATCCCAGAGGCTCCTTACTCTATCCTCATTTTTTTGGATTCTTTTTTCTTTTTGCTCTTCTGATTGGGGATTTTTTGCTTCCTTATATTCCAAATCGATGGTTTGCTCCTTGGATCTACATACTCTATTATTGAAGCTGTGTAAATTATTCTTTATTTCAGTTAATGCCTCCTTTAATTCTAACTGTGTATCCATTATTTCTAACTGGTACTTTTTTATGCTCTTGATGCCCTCCCTAAGTTCACTGAGGTTCTCACTAAGTTCATTGAGCATCCTTATAAGCAGTATTTTGAACTCAGTATCTGTTAGGTTGCTTATCTCCCTTTCGCTTAGTTCTTTTATTGGGGTTTTGTTCTGTTCTTTCATTTGGGACCTGTTTCTTTGTCTCCTCATTTTGGCTGCCTCCAAAATTGTTTGTTTCTGTGTATTACTTAATGAGAGGTATGGGGCTCGCTGAGACCCGGTGCTGCTTGTTTGAAAGAATTTAGGAAAAACCTGAAGCAGGATCCAAGACCGGCCAATCCTATGGTTAAGCAAGTGGGAACAGCTTGAAAGTTGTGTGGGGCGGGGCGGGACCTCAGGGAGTCAGCAGGGCGGGGCTACCAGTGTGAGCCAGGTTGCTGGAGTCCCAGATATGGCTTCTGTCTGCCGCCCCCGGGAAGGGCTCACCAAAGGAACAAAGGCCTCTGACAGCACGTTTGTCCCGGAGGAAGCCCCCTCTCCAGCTCTCGCTCCAGTGCCAAACAGCTCAGTTCTTCCCTGTGTGTCTCTGGTGCCCCTCGAGCTGCCTCCCCTCCGAGCTTAGAGGGAGAGAGTCCGATAAGTCCGTGCGCGGGCCCTTTAAGGAGCTGCCTGGGGCTCCAGCCGCTTCAGCTTCCCTGAGCCTCAGTTTCCGCTGGTTTTTCCAGCCAGAAGTTATGGGGATTCTCTTCCTGGCACTGGAACCCTGAACGGGACACCTGGTGTGGGACGGGGACCCCTCAGTCCTCAGGAAGGACCTTCCCAGCCGCGGGATCCTCCTGATTTTTATCCACCACGCTTGGGTGTGGGACCAGCCCGTCTCGCCGCTCCGCCGCCGCCCCTCCTACCGGTCTGGATGTAGCTGCTCTTTTTTTTTTTTTCCTTAGTTCCGTAGTTGTACGACTTCCATTCAGCTTGATTTCAGGCGGTTTTGAATGATGGTTGTTCTGTAGTTTAGTTGTAACTTTGATGTGGTTGTGGGAGGACGCGATACCACGTTTACCTACGCCACCATCTTGACCGGAAGTCTCTTTATGATTTTTAAATCAATTGTTTTGTTTTGTTTCCTAATTGTAGCTGGTGCTCAAGATAGGATTGGTTGGGCCTTTGGCCTAGGATTAGAAAGACTTGCCATGATCCTCTACGACATCCCTGACATCCGCCTCTTCTGGAGTGAGGATGAACGCTTCCTGAAGCAGTTCCGGTTGTCTGATATCAACCAGAAGGTGAAATTTCAGGTAAAATGACTTGCAAGAATCAAGTTAATAATAATAATAATAATAATAATAATAATAATAATGGTTTTTAAGATTTGACGGGGTTATGTACTTGAAAATAAAAGTATTGGATTTAAAAATAATGTGAATTTGAAAAAAAGGTTTTATATAGAGGTCCATAAACATCCCACAGGAGTTTATAAACTTTCTGAAATTGTATGTGGAAAAAAGACATTTATCAAGCTTATTAGTCTAAGCAGAGAATCAATTTTGGGCTTTGTTAATGATCATTTTATTATTATGAAATATTGATCTTTATATCTGATGATACTTTTAAAGTTTAGTTTTTCTGATACAAATATAGACACATTGGCTTTCTTATGATTAGTGTTTGTAATGTATATCTTTTTCATCATTTTTCTGTCACTCTGTGTCTTTATATTGAAAATGTGTCTCATAAACACCATACAGTTGGGTCTCTTTTTAAATTCAGATTTAATTTGATTGTTGAATACATCTACATTTAATTATATGAGATATTCTTGGGCTTAATTCTATTATTCTTTTATTTTTTCCCCCTTATTTTCCCCTTCTATTCTTTATTGCTTTATTTAGAAATTACAGTTTTGTGGGATTTATTTTGTTTGTTTTTAAATTCCATTTTACTACCCTTATTGCTATTCAATTTCACCATTTTTTATTATTTTTAAATGGTTATTATTCTAGATTCCAATAATTAATTCATCTCACTTACCATGAGTACCTATTACACAACTTCATAAAACAGTTAACAACTTTACAATATCTTTACAATATCTTTTTATTCCTCCTGTTTTTTTGTTTTGTCACATTTTACTTCTCCATATATTATAATCTCACAATATATTGCTATATTTGCCTAATCCCCTTGGTTGCCTGACAGGAGAAAGGCCAGGCTTTCTGAGGATAAATATTATCTGCTTCAGCTTCTGCATTCTTTTAAATACAATTTGAAAAGTAAGACAAGTTGTCTGACATATATGAAGTTGCAGTCTGAAAAGGAAAAAAAAAAAAGGAGTACAATTATTAGAAGAGAGTAGACGAGACAGTCCAACAAGTGAAACCCCAAGCAGGGTAACAGACAGAAAGCCACACGAAGGTAAAACTGCTGAAAACCAAAGTAAAAAGATAAAGGCAGTGAAATGACATCTTTAATGAGCTGAATGGAAAAACAACAACAAAAAAAACCCCAAACTGGCAACCTAGACACCTATATCCAAGGAAAATATTCCCCCAAAATAAAGGTGAAACAAAAGTATTTCCAGACAAACCAAAGCCTAAAAAAATCATGTTGCACAAAAGAAATAGTAAAAGAAGTTCTTCAGACTTAAGGGACATAATCACAGAGAAAAATCAAGATCAGCAGAAAGGAATAATCAGTGTGGGAGGGAAATATAAACAATATAGTTTTAAATTTCTTTAAAAGACAGTTGGCTATATGGATAGAGTGAAGCCGCGAAAGTCGAAGCGCGAAGTGGCCAGGGACGACTATAGTTGTATGGGATCTATGCATTTGGGAGATAAGATCTCTCTGCTTTCCACCCTCTTGGTAGCTTCTTCCACACCAGTGCTTGCTAAGCAAAAATACTATGAAGTAGAATTGACGGTTTCTTCTCAATTTTACAACTTGCCACACCAGCAAGTGATTGGCTGATAAAAGTTTGGCTCATTTCTCCTTATTCCATCGAAGTTTCTTTACCAAGAGCAGGCTAGCTCTTCTGTTATGTAGGTCCCCATGGTGAAAGTGGCCACAAACGTCCGTTCACCCTCTGAAGGCTCATTCGTTTAGACCTTTGTCCAGATCCCTTCCATCTTTTATGACAAAAAAGATTTTTAAATTTGTTGTTTTTCATTGTTTCAGTGGGACTGAATTTTTTTTTTTTTTTTTTTATCCTCACCCGAGGGCATTTTTCCTTTTTTTTTTTTTGTTCAGGTAGAGTGGGAGGGAGAGAGAGGAACAGAGAGAGAGAGAGAAACATCGATGTGAAAGGAACACATCGAGTGGCTGCCACCCGCACGACCAACCAGGGCCGGGGACAAACTGCAACCGAGGTACACGCCCTTAGCGGGAACCGAACCCGGGTCTCTCAGGACCGCAGGTCGACGCTCTAACCGCTGAGCGAAACCGGCCAGGGATGAATTTTTTTTTGTTGTTACAAACTTTTACATCCTAACCAAAATTTAATCATTAATTTAATTTTTTGGTTTTATTTTTAATGGCTTGTAGAAAATTCTCATCTGCCCTGGCTGTTTTTGCTTAATGGTTAGATCATCAGCCTGTGGACCAAAGGGTGGAGGGTTCCATTTCGGTCAAGGGCATGTTCCTGGGTTGCAGGTTCAATCTCCGGCCCCGGTCGGGGTCATGAGGGAGGCATCCATTCACTGTGTCTCTCTCACATCCATGTTTTTCTCTCTCTCTCCCCTTCCCTCCCTCCCTTCCACTCTTTCTAAAAATCAATGGAAAATATCTTTGGGTGAGGATTAAAAAAAAAAAATTCTCATCCCTCCCAAACCCTCCTCTTTGACAACCATCATCTTATTCTCCATATCTATATGCCTGTTTCTGTTTTGTTTTATTTTCTGTTCTGTTCTTTAGATTTCACATATAAGTGAAATTAGAAAGTATTTGTTTTTCTCTGTCTGATTTGTTTCAAAACTGGAACTTTCTATCATTAATTTTTTTCATTTTCAATGGCCTTTAAAAATTTATTTATTTATTTATTTATTTAAATTTAGTATCAGGTCCTTCTAGGTAAATTTGGAATAAAGCTCCATTTACATAATTAAAAGTAAAACCTAGATAAGGAGCTACGTTTTTCTAATTTAATTTTTCATTTATTAAGTCATTTATTTGTCAAACATGGAACACCAGCCAACACTGTACAGAGCAGGGTGCTCTACAGTGTGTTGGGCAAGCACAGATGGATCACATGGCTGCTACCACCAGTTAGTGGATTAGGTCCAGTTTTTTATTGTTCATACTCACCCGAGGATATTTTTCCATTGATTTTTTTAGAAAGAGTGGAAAGGAGGAGGGAGAGAAGGAGAAAGAGAAAGAGAGAGAAACATCAATGTGAGAGAGACACATCAATTGGTCACCTTCTGCATGACCCTGACCAGGGTCAGAGATCAAACCTAAAACTCAGGTACGTGCCCTTGACTGGGAATTGAACCCGTGACCCTGTCTGCTGGCCTGTGTTCTAACCGCTGAACCAAACAGGCCAGGGCTTGAGTCCAATTTTAATTCTACTCAAAACTGTCTTCTCTTAGGAGAAACAGAGATAATCCAGGAATAGACTATGGGTTTCTTGTATTAAGTATCATTTTGAAAAACCTTTTCTGCCTTCAAAGTTGAAAATCAGTGTATACAAACATGCACTATTATATAATTTACATGGTTGCCTTTGTGTAATAAACTTAAGAACTTCTAATGGGGTAGTTAGGATTTGATTGCTGAAAAGTATGTCTGTAAAATACTTTGTAATTTGTAGATCACAGAGAGCTATTATTTCCTAATTATTCACTTATAATTAGTATCTATTAATTATATTCTTGGTTAGTTTCCTATTTCTGATGTAACAAATTACCACAAATCTAGCAGCTTAAAACAATATGTCTTTATTATTTTGTAGTTGTGGAGTTCAGAAATTCAAACTCAGTCTGACTAGCTAAAGACAGGTGTCCGCAGGACTGGGTCCTTTGGGAGGCGCCAGGGGAGAACGCCCCTCGCCTTTGCTGGCGTCTAGGGCTGCTCTCGTTCCTCACGCAGGGCTCTGGATTGCCTGTTTCCTTCTCTTTCCCTCTGTGGTCATGTCCTCTTCTCTCTGAATTTTTGTCTTCCTCTTACAAGGAACCTTGGATGACATGGAGCCCACAAAGATGATTCAAGATAGTCTCCTATCTCAAGATCCTTTCTTAATTAAATCTGTGAAATTCTTTCTGAATGTGAGGTTACATATTCACAGGTTCTAGGGATTAGGACATGCATGCCTTTGGGAGACCATTATGCCTATCATATATACCTTTGTATAGCCCATTTTATCATGGTGAATTGCTTGCCTTCAGATATCATACAACAGATTTTGTGGCTAGGTTAAGTGATACAGATGGTATTCAAGTGTCAGCAATTTTTAACTATTTGTGTAGAGTGGTTATGGTTATATATACGAGGAGAATAAGAGACTAATTTTGTCACTTAATGTTGTTTTAAGAATATTTAACATGATTATAATAGAAGACTGTTTCCCAGGAGGAGAGGAAATGTGGGGGGAAAGTCTGCTGGCAGCTGTGAGCTTGTGGCTTCTTTGGCCAGGAAACCCTGGGAGCCATTTGGAAATGGTACTGTGCAGGGCTGCCAGGAGGCAGGAATGTCTCTTTTCTCATCTCCCTCAGTGATGTTTTAGGCTCTCCGGGCTTCTCTGACATCTTCCTTTGCGAGCAGTGGTCTGATTTATGCCCCCTCGAGGCCTCATCTCTGCCTTTCCCCAATGCCTTGAAAACTAGTGTTTAAGTCTAATAAGTAGGAAAACCCAAGTTATAGTGTGGTTTTAACTGTTGATTTTTTTATTTTACATGTTTGGGTTTTTTTTTTAAATCCTCACCCGAGGACATTTTTGCATTCATCTTCAGATAGAGCGGGAGGGAGAGAGGGAAGAAGAGAGAGAGAGAGAAATATCTATGTGAGAGAGACACATCGAATGGTTGTCACCCACATGACCCCAACCGGGGCACATCGAATGGTTGTCACCCACATGACCCCAACCGGGGCTGGGGACAAACTGCAACTGAGGTACGTGCCCTTAGCAGGAACCGAACCTGGGTCTCTCTGGTCTGCAGGCCGACGCTCTAACTGCTGAGCCAAACCGGCCAGGGCTACATGTTTTGAGTTAAATACTTGCTTTTTGTGGATCTCTTTACCCACCCTGGATCAGTGCTTGAAATAAGTGGATGAGCAAGCCCATGGCTTTATCATGCAGGCCTTG